CGTAACCTTTATATAAAACTCTCTCTTATCCATGAGTTCCTGTGGATTTGTTTCTCTAAAGTACCCAGACTAACACAAGTGGCTAACTCACATGACGGAAGAAGTGATGGGTGAAGGGGCTGACCGGAAGATTTCAAAGGACGGAGAAGACAGAGTACAGTATTGTAATGAAGTGTGCAAAGATCTTGAGCCAGAAACCCCCCAAGGGGGGACATGGTTGGCATTTCTCAGGCTGAAAGAACTGAAGAAAATAAACCTCTGGTTGGAGGATCCTGTGGGCAAACTATTGAACGGTGCAGGAGGCTTCAAACGACACTGGAAGGAAGACGCACAGTCACTGCACCAAGAAGAATTGGTCAACATTCATCCATTCCCAGAGATGGTATGCCCGTACACCATCAGGAAGGATGTCATCTGATAATTTCCATGCCTGGCCATCGGACTGGAAGAAATCCGTATCTGGGTTCCTTCCCTAAGGAAGTCGATCCAATGGGATGCAGAAATGATCAGACAGCATCCTTAGTAATCGTGTGGGAGTAAAATTTTGCAGAAGATGGTTCAAAACACAATTGCAACAGTACATCCACAAAGCGCCGTCAGAAAGCCAAGCCAGGTTTTAGAACAGGGTTTTAGAATGAGGGGCATCACGGCTGATATCACAAAGCCGGTTGTTTCATTGACCACGCAAAGGCATTTGACTGTGGGTGATAACAAATTGTGGATAGCATTGGGGGGAAAGAGGAGGGGGCAATTCCAGAACACTTGGTTGTGTTCCTGGGTAACCTGTATATAGACCAACAGACAGTCATTCGAACAGAACAAGGGACTACTGCATGATTTACAATCCGGAAAGGTGTGTCAGGGCTGCGCCCTCTCACCATACCTATTCAGTCTGTATGCTGAGCACAGAACCTGAAAAGCCGAACGGTAGGAAGGACGCGGCTTCGGGATTGGAAGCAGGCTCATTAACAACCTTTCCTAGGAGCAATCTGGCTTGCTGAAAACGAGGAGGAGTTGAAACACTTACTGATGAAGATCAGAATTACAGCCTTCGAGACGGGATCCACGTCAACACAAAACACAAACCCTCACAGCTGGGCTGATCGACATCATGATACACAGAGAAATGATTGAAGTTACGAAGGATTCCGTTTGACTCGGATCCACCGTTGGGGCCTGGGAAACTAGCAGGCCAAGAAACCACAGGACATGTTGCCCCGTGGGCAAACCTGCTGTAAGAAGACTTTAAAGTGCCCCAAGGGAATGGTGGCACTGAGCCCGGGCTGGGCCTGACCCAAGCGACGGTCTTTTCCATCAGCTCCTACGCATACGCGAGCTGGGCAGTGGATGAGGAAGAATCGGTGCCTCTGAAGGGTGGTGTTGACGAAGCACACTGACCGTGCCGTGGGCCACCAGGAGAACGACCACCATGTCTGTCTGGACAGAAGGACAACCAGGACGCTCCTCACACATGAGCACGGCGAGACTTCATCGCACACACTTGGGACTGGCTCCTGGAGAAGGACATCATGCTCCATCAAGTGAAGGTCCGTGAGGAAGAGGAAGACCTGGAACTTGACAGCTTGGCTCAGCAGCCACCACAGTGGGGCTCACACACAGCAGCGGTCAGGGTGAGGGTGGCGTGGGACCCGGCAGTGTTCAGTGACCACAGAGACACACTCTCTTTCCTGCGGCACAACCCCGCCTCATCCTTCCCCGTCATGCCTGTGCTGCTAGGAGACCCCCAGACTGTCCTGGGGGCCGGCCCACCTGACGGCTGAGGCACTGCCCCCCATCCCCGCAGATATGGATGCGTATGGGGAGATCCCCGGGCTCTGTAGCATGGCGTCTGTGTCAACCAGATCGGACTTTCCGCGGCCAGTGCCCCGAGGGCTTTGAGGACAACGGCCTCCTGCTGATCTGCGAACTCCCACCCCGTCTCCCCAGGACCCCGACCCGGCCCAAGGACCCTTCCCACCCTCCTCTGAGCTCTGGGTATGATGCTGGACTCCCTCTGTGCTCTCTGGGCAAGTCACGCATGTTCTGAAAGGCCCTGTTTGCCACCTGTGTAACAGGGCCATCCCCTTGCCAAGACCCTCAATGTTTCCAGAAAGCCCAGCCCCTCTGACATCGGGGGGCTACAGAGGGGGTTGGTTGGGGATG